TCCCTCCATCCACCTATCTATCTCTCCATTTATCCCTCCACCTATCCACCTATCCATCCATCTATCCATCAATTCCATCTGTCTATCTCTCCCTCCTTCCATCCCTCCATCTATCCCTCCCTCATCTATCCATCTATCTATCAATTCCATCTGTCTGTCTGTCTGCCCATCCATTCTTCAGTCTGGGGACAAAAGGCCGTTCTGTGTGTGTGTGTGTGTCTCTCACATGCACAAACACACAAAATACACACACACACACACACACACGCACAGAGGGCTGGGACACAGGAGCCGCCGCGTGCCACGATGCACGGTTCTCTTCCCAGCCAAGGCCAAACGCCAGTTTGAGGGCAACCGCCCCCCCCTGGCCTCTCCCCCCACCCACCGCCCCCACCCAAAATCCACTTACGACCATCAAGGTGTCCCCCGAGGAATTCTGGGATAGCTCCTGAATGCCCAGGGCAAAACTCTTGCTGTGGCTGCAGAACTGGCGCCCGGATTCCAGCATGGTGCTCCCCAGTTTCAACAACTGCCAAGCGGGGGGAAGACGGGGAGAAGTGGGTCAGAACTGGGACGTACGGACACCAGTGGGCATCTGTCCGGCTAAGCCCCCCCTCCACGACCACCACAGACCAGCCTTGGCACACCCTGGGGCAGCGGTGCCCACCCGCCCAAGACAGCAGCACCAGCCTGCAGGCAGGTGTTCCAGCTGGCAAGATCAAGAGCAACGCGGGTTGTCCTCGACTTACAACCATTCGCTTAGCGACGGTTTGAAGTTGGAGCTGGAAAAAAAAATGGCCCTTGCACTCTGTACAGCCAGGATCAAAATTTGGGTGCTTGGCTAACCAGCATATAGTAATGGGGTGGCACCATCCCAGGGTCACGTGACTACAATTTTCTTTCTTTCTTTCTTTCTTTCCTTCCTTCCTTCCTTCCTTCCTTCCTTCTCCTTCCTTCCTTGCTCCTCCTCTCCTTCCTTCCTTCCTTCCTTCTTTCCTTCCTTCCTTCCTGTCGATCTTCCTTCCTTCTTCCTTTCCTTCCGTCCTCCCTCCCTCCTTATCTACCTTCTTTCCTTCCTTCTGCCTCCCTCCCTCCCTTCCTTGTCTCTCATCCTTCTATCTTCGTTCCCTCCTCCCTCCTTTCCTCCCTTTCTTTCTTTCTTCTTTCCTCCCTTCCATTTGTCCACCTTCCTTCCATCATCCTTTCCTTCCTTCCTTCCTTCCTTCCTTCCTCCTCTTTCCTTCCTCCTTCTCTTCCTTCCTTCCTTGCTCCTCCTCTCTTCTCCTTCCTTCCTCCTCTTCCTTTCTCCTTTCCTTCTCTTCCTTCCTTCCTTCCATCCTTCCTTCATTCCTTCCTTCCTCCCTTCCTTCTCCCTTCCTCCTTCTCTTCCTTCCTTCCTTGCTCCTCCTCTCCTTCCTTCCTTCCTTCCTTCTCCTTCCTTCCTCCTTCTCCTTCCTTCCT